TTGGTGACGTTGATCCGCGGGGAAGTTGTATGTTCGGTCAATCGGGGGTCGGCATGGGAAACTGCTCAAAAAGCTGCCAAATATTTTGACAATTGAGTGATGTTGATACGGGATGGGGTGAGGTGAGACACCGGGTGCCGAGATTCAGAGTATTCGTGCCGACAACAATATGTAAGTAGTAACAAAGTAGTAGTGAGATGGTGATGGCCCACTGTTCCCCTTTGGTCTCCCATACACTTTGATTTGATTTTTTTATTTTAAAATCAACACTTTGATTTGATGGAGGGACGCGTCTTGGCGAGTAAACATCAGTCAGAACACGTTATCGTTACAGTCACAAAAGTTGAAGCGCGTTAGTCACGTGGAATTTCAACCTTTCGCGCGTTTGGATTTGGCGAGGGAGCTCAGAGCTCATTTAAATCAAGACCTCCGTCATGGACACCACTGGTTTCACTCAAGTCGGAAGATATGGCACGCTCAGTCTCATGAAAAAACAAGAACCCAACACTGTTGTAACAGCGTTCGGAATCGACACAGAAGAACTTACGTTTGGGCGGGACATCAGCTGCAGTGTACGACTTTACTACCCGGATGTCAATCTTGTTCACTGCAAGATCGTGTTTGAAGAACGGAAAGTATGAACACATAATGTACTATTTATTGGACGCTGACACTGTTCACAGGCATTTCTTATCGTACTTGGAAGCGCGGGCTTGCTAGTTGATGGATGCCGAGTTTATCCTAATGGAACACCTGAAGGACAGCCAACTACGATCCCACTCTCAAACAACTCTGAGATCGAAATTCATAACAAGCGCTTTCGGTTCTCCTACCCTCCCAAAGAAATACGCGCTACTCTTCTTGCCACCCCTGCTCGTCCGTCCTGCATCACCGTTATGAATATTGCATGGTCTAATTCGATTTCATAGGACCTAACCGAAAACTTCGACTTTCTATGATCCATTCTGCCCAGGTCTTTTCGCCACGCCCGTCTAAAGATCCCCGCGAGAATCTCAGGATCCTCAAAAGCCCAATGAAGAATGCTTTCCGAAGCCCGACGAAGCCATCTGCGCTATTTCAATCACCAGTAACATCCGGGTTGGATGATAATGACGACGAGGAAGAGGAAGAGGAGATTATACTAGTTGACGGTAACCATCCCCGTGTTGTTGAAGAAGACAAGGACCTTGTCATCCTTGAGGATGTTGATGTTCCCGTCCCACCTCTCATCCAGGTCCAACCACCAAAGACACCTCAGCGTCGGCGATCGCAATCACTACATCGAGCAGTTCTGATACGGAGCGCCCATCGAGCTGTCATAGAACACGAACGACAACAACGCCAAGAGGAAGAAGAAAGAGAAGAAGAAATGGAAGTACTGGACACCATCGCAAGCGATGAGATCAACCCTCAGGAAGATGACCACACTGGTGAACCAGATGAACACGAATACCCGCCTTCTGACGGGGAAACCGACAGCGACGAAGACGCGGCCGAAGAGGAGGGCGGCCAAGAGCAACGGAAGCCACTTTGGAGAAAGAGCCTGGAGAGATTATGGCCCTTCAGAAGCACAAGCCCTCCAGATGCCGAGGTATTTCTTCAGTATCTATACCCAGAATGTCGATTAACTCGTACCGTAGGCTGCCAACGAGGAAGAGGCGGAACAGGAAGAGCAAGAGGAAAACTCGGAAGAAGAAGTAGGGGAAGATGAGAGAAATGAGGCTCAGGATCAACCAGAAGCGCTCCCTTCTCTGGCTCAAGCTACTCCAATCCGTCGTCCTTTGGGCTCCTTTATGACGCCCCAGGTTACTCAGAAACCTGCTCCCTTTGACCGCGGAGACAGCCTCGAGCCATCCCGAGGCCGGTTGGGAGGAGGACCCCCGGTTCGATACTCTATGGGTGGGGAAGCTAGAAGAGTCCCTCTTGAGCCTCTTTGGCGCGTTAAAGACATCGTTATTCCTCTCAAGGAAGATGAAGACGAATCCAATCAACCTCCCAGTGTCGTCGAGTCACGTTTGCCCGGCACTCCACGCCAGTCGAATATTGGACAACCTCAAGCATCACCCAGTCGCTCTCGCCTAGAGATTAGCGCAGAAGAACGAAAAGTAAGCCAATCGGACCACTCGTTATAGTCATTAAGATGAGATTGACTGAGATGGGTATAGGCTATACAAGAGCGGCGGCGTAGTGCTCTTCGCGAAGTAGATACTCATTCATACTTTTCGGGTGGGATTCCTGGCATGTCGCCTTCAAAGGAAAAAGCATTCGCATCTCCAACCAAACCGGGATTCAACGATGATGCCAATAACCCTTTCTGGCCAGTATCCCCCACGAAACGTGGCTCAATCTCCCCAGTCAAGGACATCGAAAGGAGACTGAGTACGGATGAGGAAGACGAGAAGCTGGATACCCGCAGCTTACTCGAGCGGATGAAAGAGACCGTCGAGGGTATGAAAAGGAGACGCAGTACCATCGGCATATCGGCGCCTAGTCCCGCGAAGCCTTCGTCCTCTAGCTCGAACGTATTCGAGGGCGTCGCATATACTCCACTTGTACACACGTCTTCAGAAGACCAGAACGATATCGAGAAGGAGAATGATGCGAGTGCGATGGACATTGATGAACCGTTCCCCTTGTTGCGATCACCGAGTAAAAATCCCGTTCCTCTAGAGATCCAAATCGACGAAGAACCAACCTACGAATCGGTCGTTGATAACACACCAACCGTTCCAGTCATCGTTGAAGAGGCCATTGTTGATGAGCAACCTCATTTGCAAGAAGAAGCAGCGCAGCCTGAACCTGTATGCATTATTCCAGTCCCCCCACCGTGTCCAAACTTATACATCTAACTTTTAGGAAACATCTCAACTCCAGGTGCCTCTGGGGCGCTCACGTATAAGGAGTCGAAGTCCACAACCTCCAGCGGAAGCGCCAAAGGCAACGACTTCCCGAAGAACTCGCAAGCCGACCGCAGAATTAGAAGAGACACAGGAGGTCCCCGCTATCGAGGTGTCGAAACATGCCATCCCCAAGGCCACCAAGCCAACAGGACAGGAGCCCCCTGCACCACCTCCGGCAGGTGTTGCTCCAACAAGGCGGGTCCGAAAACCCACAGTCGAACCTGAAGATCCTCAGCCAACCAGGCGCGGTCGCAAGACTCCCACCATCGTAGAGGCACCTGCGCCTACAGTCAAACGCTCCACGAGAAATGTCGTAGTCAAAGAGGAGAAAGCGGCTGCTGTACCTGCACCTGCGCGACGCGGACGACCCCCCAAAGCTACAACTGCAACTGCAACTGCAACTGCAACTACATCTGGGCAAAGCGATGATAACGCAAAACGTTCAACAATGCGCGGACGTGGGACGAGGGTCGTGCCCACTGAAGCCGACAACGGCGATGGTGATGACCCGCTTGATGCTTTCAATACATCTGAGGAGGTCCCCACGGAGGACCCTCCGCCTGCTCCCATACCTGCGAAGACTGCGGCCAAAACTCGCAAGCCTCGAACAGCTATGAAGCAAGAAGAAGAAACTACCGAAGTTCTGAAGACTACAATTACAAAGTCGAGGACTGCTGGGACCGCCGCGAAAACACCAGCACCCACAAGGGGTCGCCCTCGGAAGACGCCGGCAACAGCCCCGGCGGCTACGCAAGTGAAAGGGGATAAGGAGAATGCCCCGAGGGCACGGCCGGCCGACGGCCCTTCTGGGAAGACTGCTGCAGGAGATACAGATGAAGGGGTCGTTGTCAAAGTGAAGACGACCAGGAAGACGAGGACGGCGACGGTGAAACAGGAGGTCGAAGATGCGGCCCAACCTAAAGCCCGAGCGACCCGCGCAACTCGGGCTCGAACGACAACCACATAAAGGCTGGGGGTGATATTCTCGTTCGTCTCCTCGTTTGTCCCTCGTGTACGATTATGTGATGTTTTTGTTTTCTGGGACTTTTATGGATTGGTGTTTTCTACCCGAACCTTCCGGCGTTCGAATTCTTCCTGGTCTGATCTCTATATCATGTCTGACACTGATGCTATGTTTATCATTTCCTATTCTATATTAGTGATCAGAATTCATAATACTGAAAAGGTTGTGAATGCGGTTTGGTGGCCCACACCCCGCGATACCCCCACCAACGATGCATTATCCGCATTGTCCACAAGATCCGAGAACGTATATCCGGGGCTCTAGGCCCAAATTCGCGTTCAATCAAGCAATCCCAGAGATCCTTCATCATGACAGATATTCCCCCAACAGAAGAAAGAACCATGGGTTCGACAAAATCGTCTACTCGATTCTGGACTTCTATTCCCTCCAGTATTCGGTCCGTTGACATGAACCAACGAGGCAATCAACCGCCCTGCATATTATTCTTGTAAGATATCTTTGCGGAAACATATAACCATGGCATCTCTTTCAAAGTATCAGGTGCCGGCAGACTTCGCCTAATTTAATATAATAATAACCAACCAATCCCCAACATGTCCGAGACGAACGGCTCTGAAATCTCAAGGTCATCTTCGGGTCTTGGGCAAGGTCTTATTTCGGCCCCACCAAAACGCAATTCCTAGCGTTGTCGGCGTTCTCCCTGGTGCTCGGCACCAGAACGTGTCCAGTCGCTAGGCAGACGCTATAAAAGTCTACACCAATTATCAACCCCAATGCCCAATGTAGGACCGCTGCCGATAAGTGATGCACGGCCGCAAGTACACAGAAGGCCATGTGAGTGCTCTTTATATAACATTTAGAAGTCATCACCTTCTGGTAGATGTGCCGAACTAACTCAGTGATAAACCCGGACCGGAAAACACCTGCCCATAGCGTACGCTATTCACCCAGTGTAAGCGGATAACACGGGACACTCATTAGAAATTCACTCCCAAGAGATCCAGGTCGAATTATTTTGCCCTGAGGAAAATGCCTTCCGGTCACAAACGCTTGAAGTGCAGAGGGCTGAAAAAGATGCTTTCAATAGGTATTGATATAAAACCCGGTTACAGCAAGGGCACTTAGTTTAGTGGTATAATATTCGCTTCGCACTGAGCAATCTCAAGCGCTTGCGAGAGGTCGTGGGTTCAATTCCCACAGTGTCCATTTTGGATTTTTGTCGTAGATCTTTTGGCTAACCCACGATTCAGGCCCTTTAAATACCTCCTAAACCACATTCCACTTCAGTAGATATTGTTTACGAGTATGGCGGTCCCTTCATATACATAATGACCAGACAATTGCATTCAATATTCGTGGGATGACATTAAGATAGTTGTGACGAGCGCAAAATAAATCATACACTAAGGTAGCAATGGTGAGCACTATGTTGGCGGGAGCACACCCATGGTCTAACTTCAGTGTGAAGACCCAGAGGACAGCACGTAATCGATCATCAAACCGGCCCAAAGCAGCCAACCAAGGTGTCCGTTTCTCTTGAAATTACCTGTCGATAGCTGGGAGTTAGGCAGGCGATTCAATAATACAACGACGGTCTACTCACGCCAGCAGCTTTCGGGCACATTAAGGTCTACAGTGAAGAATTGCCAAACAACGTGTGTGGCCGTGCCACCAACGGAAATGGAAAAAAATGGCCAGCCTTGCTTGTTCAGGACACCAACGATAGACAGCAGCACGACGAAGGAGAGCGCTATGAGAATAAGCAAGGGGCGAATCCAGGAACCGAAGAGGATGGCGGTCGATTTGGCACCCATTTTAATATCGTCTTTGATATCTTGGCAAGCATAAATAGTGTCTGCCCGTCATTGGATGAGTTACGCAATGTATTGGTTAGTAGACATCCACCAACCGTATAGCATTGTCCAACTGATTACGGGCCGTGTAAATTAAGACTTCATTTGCAGTGGTCGATATTTAATGAACTCACCACCAGCAGGCTGCCATAGCGACACCTAGAAGCTCGTTGTCAGCATGGCCAGTTGTTGCGACCCATGCGGTTATGAACCCGAAGTTCATGGCAAAGCCTAACCATGCTTGAGGCCAATGGGTAAAGCGCTTCATCAGAGGGTAGATAGCAAATCTGTGTCGGAAGAAGTTCTACATTTCCTGGAAGTGGCTTATGAAAACCTGACGTACAGTGGGAGGAGCTGGAAAATGGCCACCCATAACCTGAAAGAAGGGGAAAATCAGGGGGTCGTTAAAGGTGGAACGGATCTTTGACATACGCGAGGCCCTCAAGAGTTGTCGCGAAGAAAACTAAACCAACGATATACTGAATCATCACATATACACTCGCGGCGAAAACCGAGATTCTTCCGCTCGGTAGGGGTCTTCTTTTGGTGCGCGCTATAAATTGATTTATAACATACTCGCTGGCACAGACGGACCGTATTTCACTCACCAACACCAGCATCAAGCTTGCGATCAAAGATATCGTTGATGGTACAAGCTGAAGTGCGCAAAATGATGGCACCGAATAAGCAGTGAAGCATCGTCCACCAATAATCTCGTAAAGGCATTTGTGTGCGGTACGCGGCCATAGTTAAGCCCCAAGCTAGAAGCATTCACCATGAAGACGACAACATGGGTGACAGTCCTGCCAGAGTTACATACCAAAGGGCCAAAACATCAGGATAAACCCAGTAGGCTATCATAGAATCAGCATGCGAGAAGCATGGACTAACGTTGTTAAAGTTTCTATACCTTCTCTATTCTGGCGAGCTCGAGATAGGGCCGAATAGTAACGGGGAATAGGGAGAGGGGGAACCTGGGACGGGGCTCCTGAGAGTCACCCTGGGGAAGGAGGGGGGTGTTTTCTGTATCGAGGCGGCCCATGGAGAAGAACAACTGGAGAAAGAGGTGAAGAGATGATGGTAGAGAGATGTTGTGAATTTCCAACCGGCTTTATATGTTCCTACATAACCACACGTGTAAACCTTCGAGACCACCCAGACGTGCTGGTGAGTGAGGATAAATAGAATTGATCGTCGACCCAAACTCATCTCCAGATACTAAGATCGTAATCTCTTGTGAAATGCAATCCGAATCTGGAGAGGTAGTGGCCGGAAATTCCTATCAGAATCCCAGGCGGGAGCGGATGGAATCCAGATTCCATGATGACAACATAACTGATGTCTTCTCAGGGTCGGAATCGCAGATGACAAGCTATGACAAGGTGTACCTTCTGCCATCAGTAACGTTGCGCGTGGGTCCTCATACCGACAGACTTCGCAGCAAGGTCATTCATTAATGACAAGTTAGACCAGAAGTCGCTCCTTCCGGAAGGATATTAAGAAGTTTAGCCAGTCTTTGCTCCGGATAGATCTTGTTGGTTGCGTCCATTTGGCGTAGCAGGACCTAGAAAGCTTCTTGACATTCACGTTGGAGCACTAGAAAAGACTTCTATAGGTTCCACGTGTCCGACTATAATCATGTCCTGAAAGAAATCCCGACTGAAGTGGGTTCCTATTACCTCCTTGGCAAAAACGGTTTAACAGTTAACCCTCTCTCTCAAGGTTGGCGTTCGTTCGGATGGTACGATCTAAAAGTGCTAGAAGTCAGCCAGACGATAAAACGATGTCGAGCGAGTTGTCAGCCTCCGAGCTCCGAGCTTCGGGAGTGAATAAAACACTCGCTCGACTTCTGGGATCACCTGAGTCAGGAGAGCGGCCAGCTATAGCATAGCATAAAGCCACGGATTTCATGGCGACACATGTCAGGTTCTCGCTGCTGGTCAAGCGATAGCATCAGGGGAGGCGACTTCAAGGACAAGAGACACCAGTGGTTGACGGCTTCGGAGATCGAAAAATATGATCCAAACATAACTCGGCACCGTCACCACAGTAAAGCGTAACACCAGGTACCTTGAGAGACAAACTGGCGGAGCTTTATAGCGAAGCGCTGTCTCTTATTCCTCTTCAAGTGCTTCCCCCAACATGACTTTACTGACCTGACATGGTCCACCAGGTGATAACAGGGGGGTGGATGCGATGTTGAGAAAACCGTTGAACCCAAGCACCAAGCTAAAAACTCTCATTTGAGAGCGCCTCCGGGATCGTTATATGCACGCTATGTCATAACCTGGCACCATCTCCAAATTATCCATTGATTTTACTCGGTATTTAAGTAGTTTACATGTTTCTGTATACCCCGGTCTCGTGCGCGCTGTACCTGTGTCCACACGCGCACATACACACGTCTCGGGTCATAGATCGCTCCTCGACAACGGATGCCGTCGGCTCCCAGACTCGCATCACACTTTCCACTGGCGCGAGATCGGGATCCCTTCAACCCCCCACCTCGGTGCCGCAAATATAACTTGCCTCAGAATCAGGTCCTATGATCCCAAACCTCATCCCGTTTCGCCTCGGAGACGGGCCATCCTCGCGAGTGAGATCCCAACCGCTTGGCCCGGGGTTACTTAAATAGCACCAATGTAAAAACACCCTTAGCTTTCGGATCTTCTGGTTCAAACATCGCCTATATTTTCTCAAAGACACTATCAACTGACCACTGAAAGATTCATGCGGTGGTGGCGTTATCCGATCATCCGGAAAAGCCAGACAGAGGTGAGGCATATCCCGCCAATTTTACTCGGCATCAATGACTATGTGTCTTTATTGTACCTGTTTGTACGAAAAAATCAAGAAATTCCCTATCGTTCGAGTTCGATCCAATGTCCTGAACCAGCGCCTTGGAATACTGGCATGCTAATACAAATGGAGTCCTCGGCGTCTTTGTGGGAGGCGACCCCATGTACATATGTCGAGGTTGCTGGGATACCAGGTAGCTTTCCTAATGATCTTGATGGACACTGGATGGAAAGGGCGCGTTCCTGCTGTCGTTCATGATCGGGGTGGCCTCTTGTGACTCAGGTTGAGTTAAGCGATATGCTCGGATTGCGATCATCCGGAAAATGATATCCTTGGTAAGAGAAGGCACATTAGCTCGGCAGGAGAGGTAATCATGGGAGGGGCGGACCTAAAAATTACTGGTACATTCTAGCCCAGAGCATATCAAGAGAGCATGTGGAACCTCATTTCGAAGCGTATAAGGGGTTCCTTATCACCTCACCGACACTTTTTACAGTACGTATTTCTCTTGAGTAAATGAACTACAAGTGGTATGAGATTGGAAGAATAACAACGCAGAACGGTATTTTGGAATATGGTGACTTCATCAAAGTTTTTCTTATTTTCTATGAGAAGTCAGAGTCGTATTGGTCATAACCGCGCGATCATGAGTACTTACGGCTAAGCTACTGTCGATATAACGTCCTGACTGGCGGCTGAAGAGGAAGGTATGGATACCAATGAGGGCTGGAGGCGATTATTACGCATCTTCTATTCGGAACTCTGTATCAGTGAGGTAGCGATTACAGCTGTGTTGAGATAGCTGGGGCGAATTACGGGGCCCTTGAGGACGATCGAAAATGTGCAGGGGACATGAGGGATCAGAGGGGTGCGGCGTTCGAAAGCGGGGCGCATAGCACCAATACCTCAAACATTTCGGTCTAGGCGTCCGGTTGTGGGGCACGATGGGACCTAGCGAAAGGATGATTGGAAGAATAACGATCAACTTCTCCACACTGTAGACGGCCGATCTACACCTGTCACGAATTTATCAATACTTCAACTTGACAAGATGTGATAAGTATACTATGAAAGTACCACATGACAACGATGTTGATCCCACGAACCACGCGGGGCGCGGAACTGTTGGCTGGGACCTGCATCCAGTCCATAGTCCTCCAGATACATCTTCGGTGTTGGCGCGCTATAATTGCAGCAGGGTCTGGCGTAAGTGTATGCTTTCAATGTGAAACTGATGATCGCACCCAGTCTTTACTGATACTTGATGCTACATAAATGACTTCTGTCACCAGAAAAACGGAGGTGAGATTTAAAACGTACGAAAAGACTCCCAAGGTCTCCAGGGCTTCTAAGGATCATGATCGAAATTTCGAAAGTGTCCGGGCACTTGTCACCACTCGCGCAAAAGCGATCAGAATATCCAGGAACTGATAAAATATCACTACAAAGTGTATTTATATCTGGGTCATAGTCCCGGACATGTAAATATTCATAGACGGATATAACCTTGAGAAAAATCGAAGCAAGGCAGGATCCATCGAGCCTTTAGGAGGA